CGATTCATTTCCGCGAACCGGTTCTTTTCGGACAGATCGGCTCATTGAACCGGTTCAAAAAGCCGATTCATCGGTTCCTGACGTCATCAAGCAATAACGTCTCTACGCATTTCTTTTCTAACAACTCAGTGCCATGTTGTATCAATGAAAAATTCAAACAAGTCATCTGTGTCAACACATATTGAAAACATTCAAAAATAAAGTTATTTGTGTGAAAGCATATTGCTGATTATTGCCATATAATTCACTTAAGTTAATGGTGTTTGTGGCCAAAGTTTCATTCGCGGATCCTCAGATACGACTGACTGACTAATATTGACTACGGCTCATTCGGTTCTTGTTGAGTCCTCGGTAATCCTCGGCAAACATCCACAGTTGGTTGAACCGGCTCATTCGGTTCTTTTTGAGTTGGACGTGCTACTTCGGCTGTGCGTCCTGCGTCATCAACCCGGAACTAAAGTTCGATTCAGTTCGATTTGTGAACCGGCTCGACCGGTTACTTCCTGAGAACCGGCTCAAAAGAACGATTCGTTCAAGAACCTAACATCACTACTGTTTACCCCTCGCCTGAACCATCACCTGTGTTTCGGATTAACCCTTTGGATTACCCTGTTTGGACATTGTTCGCCAGAGACCACGCCCGCTCACTGGATTACTCTTCTGTCTTGCCTAGTCTGTCACTGTTCGCTATTATCGATCCCTGCCTGTTTTGACCACGCTCTTGTTAAATAAAGCCTGCAAATGGATCCGCATGCCTCTGTCTCGCATCTCTCCGTAACACCGTGATTGTAGGCACTCCTCTAGGAAGTGTAAACATTGTTGCAAGTTTGGCCATTTAGACAAGTTCTGTAAAAATCCTAAGAAGGGGTATTAGGAAAACACACAGAAAAATAATTCCTCTCTGTCTGAAAGTGAAACTGCAAAATTTAGGAAACTGTTAAACATGGAATAGGGGTCAGCAACTTCTGGTTCTTGTGATAAAACTGATCTTCGTCCTTTTGTTCATGTATTGTTAGGAGGCCTGCAGTGCTGCTTAATCGATAAAGGTGCAACAGTTTCTTTCACAAATGTTCCTCTCAAAACCACATCTGATTCTTTGTACACAGAAAAGTTGAATGGTATAAAAGTGTATTATAAATCTGTTCCCGTGCCTCTCATTCTAGCAAACTCAGATAATGTATACTTGACAGAATTCTGGGTTGGTGAAAATACTGTAGGCACTATCATTGGTGCTGATATTTTGGAAAACCTGTAAGCTGATGTTTTGCTTTCAGGAGATAAATTTGTTCTTGGCTGCAATGAAACAATTCACTTATCTCATGCTGGTCCCCACCATGATTCAGGATATGCTGTGGCTGAAGTTGTAAGTCTAGTAGTGGAAGTACATAATTTCCAAATTCCTGGATGTTTGGGCAAAAGATGAATTTGAGGAATTGTGGAATTGCGCAAATTCAGCCACTTAACATCCCAGGTTCTATGCATGTTGCCAAAGCCAAAAAAAAAGATGCTCGAATAGGAGCTGAAAAGGTTAAACAAGAGTTATATAAACGGGGAATTATAGTTCCTTGCTCCTCCCCACCAACTCCCCTATTTGGCTGGTCAGAAAGCTTGATGGGAGTTTGCGTTTAACCATTGACTACACAGCTTTGAATGCATTTCCACAAAGGTACATCCCCTGGTGGCTAACCCAGTAAATATTTTGCATTAAAAATAGGATCTGATCATTGTTATTTTACTGCTTTGCACATTTCTAATGGCTTCTGGACTTGCCCCTTACCCCCGGAAGATCAAGCTAAATTCACTTTAACCAGCAACCAACAACTTGGACTCATTTGCCACAGGGATTCTGCAACTCCCTAGTGCTGTTTCACCAGTTACTTGCATCATTTATTGACCCTGTTCACAAGACAGTTGAATCTGACAGGTCTGTCATTCTCCAGTATGTAGATGACATTGATTGCTAGCCCAAAAAAGTTTAAACATTTGATTGCTGAACAAACTGTTTTGAATGGGAGTTTCAAAGTAAATTTGAAGAGAGCACAGCTAGTACGACCCAAAGTAACCTATCTGGGCCAGATCATCAGAGTTCACAGCCAAGAAATCACTCCAGAATTAATTAAGGCCATTGTTGAACTGCCAAAAATCAAACACTGCCACTGGTCTAAGGCAAGTAATGGGACTTCTGAAATACTGCCGCCAGTATGTGTCTGAATATACTGAACTGTCTAAGCCTCCTAAACCCCTTTCACACTGCACGTTGATTCCGGGATCGATCCCGGGTTGGGGACCTGGTAACAGTCCCGGAACGAACCCTGTGTGAACAAAAGCCAGAACCAATGCCGTAAAGCAGTGGTTCTCAAACCTCCCCATGAAGTACCCCCAGCACTGCACATTTTGTATGTCTCCCTATATCTGACACACCCACTTGCAGTCTCCACTAATGAGCTGATGAGTTGAATCAGGTGTGATAGATGAGGGAGACATACAAAATGTGCAGGGCTGGGGGTACTCCAGGACAGGTTTGAGAACCACTGCCGTAAAGGGTGTGCCGTAGTGATGATGCACATTATCGTGCGACTCTTTTACCGGGTGTTTTGAAGCCAGATCAACATTCACGACGAAAAAATATGTGCAAACTGGTATGAAGCAGATTACTCCTTCATACAACATACATAGGGAGCTCCTCACTATCCGCACTGAAGCTAAGATCCTTTGCCTGCTTAGTGAAACTGTACGCGTCACATCGTAATTTTGATTTTGGTAAATTGAAACCAAAATCAAATGATCCCGGGACAAATCACGGAACACATTATCCGTGTATTTTCCGGAATCTCTGTGTGAAAGGGGCTTTACTGAATCAAAGAACGGAGGAAAACCAGGATCAGAACTCACTGAATGAATGGAACAGATGCGTTTGTGAGTATCAGAGAGACTCTTGCTTCCTGTCCAGCTTTACGACATACCGATGCCAGCCGGCTCTTTCATCAGTGGACCTGGGTGGGGAATAAGTCCTACTCACCTGCCCTGGGCCAATGAGTTCCCTGGAGACCATCTTACGGAATAGTGGGATACAATTCTACCCCGATTCCCGTGTCCATGACAGGACAACATCCTTGTCTGCTGATCTGTGACTGTGCAGAGTGGGCTGTCAAGACCAAGGAAGAAATTGTAACCCACCAGAAAGTGGTATTTCATGCCAAACACTAGATTCTCAAACTGTTGACAAACACGCTTGGGCTTGATTTCTAACCAGAGGTGAGCTAAGTGGGAAGCCACACTTTTAAACAAAAACCCTGCCTCACTGCTACCAGATGAGGGATCCGCGCACAACTGTGTACAGCTGATTGAAAATGACACAAAGACACAAATGATACTGAACCAAGAGTGGTTATCAAAATCACGGGACATTTCAAGGACGATTCACCAGTCTGAGGGAAATCAAGCTAGAGACACTGCTGCCAGAGGGCTGCAAAACTAACTAAAAAAACAACAACTTGTGAGAGTAATGTCTCTATCTCCACAGGAGGAGGGGCATACTAGGGACATTTTTTAACTATGCAGTCGATGATGCAGATGAAATTGAACAATAGATTTAATTGGGTGCGCAGAGGAGCTCAGATGGATTATGAAAGTTTAATGAGCGCTTTTCTGTGTCCTTCTTCTGCCCAAACTAAATTAATGTCTTTGTATCATGGTTTGGCACATGCAGGACCTGTGAAATTACATCCAATGATTTAAAAAATGTGGTGGTGGCCAAAAATGAGAAATGCTTGTGCTGATTTTTGCAAAAGGTGTCTAGTATGTCTCAAAGTGAATTCTCCTTCAAAGCTAAAAATTATTTCTGGACATGCTCTGCACCCTCAGGGTTTTC